GTAGCCGGCCCAGGCCGTATGATCGGCAGGCGGTATCTTGGAATTTTATTGTTTCTTGAAACCCTCTAAAAGTGACCGCAGTCGCACATTTTTCACTCCAAAATGTGAAGTCGGGTGGGTGACCCGAACCAAAGCTGAAAGGTAATTTTTTGGTTGGCCTAACTATAATATAAACTTTCATATGTCAATTTAATAGAAACTTGCTATTTCAGTCCAAGTAGTTGGCTATATATAACAATGGTTTGAATGAATTATGATTATAATAGTATACATTATTATTATTACTGGTAGGTGTTCCCTCTAATAGTTGCATTCAAAATCAGGTTTAGCTCCCTCTTTATTGATGGTAATAGACACAGTACATGGGAAACTAGAATGTTGTGTTGATGTAGCAAGTACCCATTGTCTCACCAGGAGCATTCACACAATCTAGTAACTGTAAGTGCAAGTAAATGCTTGTTGGCTTGCACAAACTGGAAATTCTTGGTAGTGTCTCAGGTGTGGTAATTACCTCTAGGATCAAGGTCATTCGTGCAAGATCAATATCTAGAAATTAGCATGGTGAGTCACCAGGTTATGCAAGTTGTCGCCGTGTAATGATGGAAACTGTTGCTTGTGAGCCGTCAGCGTCGTTATGTCTCCCTGCCTTCTGTGGGACCATGTAGTACTCCTTTAGGGTAACTCACTTGGATAACGTGAGCTGCAAAACAGAATCTGTGCCATGTGAAATGCTTGTTCAAGTTGCGCGGTGCATTTCCGTGTAGGAATATATATGTGTGCGACTGTGCGTGCGTGCCAGTGAAAAAAATACACGGGGGCTCGGGGCGATTTAGCCCCCGAAATACCAAAAAGAGCCCCCGTAAATTTGCATAGAGTTCAATGCAAACCAAATTTTAGAGTGCTATTTTCATGCACGCGAGCTTGAAAAGTAGCCCGCGAAAAATAAATTTTCATTTTTTCCTTGGTGCGTGCATGTGTGTGTCTACCTATACGACTGTATGTCTGTAGTGTACGTAATGCTACAATGTATATATAAAAATAGGCAAGTGTTGTTAGTACAGCAGCACTAATGGAAGCATGACTTATCCTACTTCAGGGAAAGATTAATTGATGCAATTAGCATCGTAATTTTGCCATTGATTTTTGCGCACAAATTTTAACTTACATAATTGCCGACGTCTTGCAGAGCAGCGGAAATAATGTCATTAATGTATTAGATAGCATAGTGCGGCGATGGCGACGCGACTGCTTAAGGTCGGTGAGTCCAGCCGCATTTACTGCTCTTTGCCTGCTTAAGTACGAAACCGTGTCGACTGGCACCACACCGAAGCGTGTAGATTTGTATCAGCACACCAGTGCAGCTGTCTACCATCATTGTCGGGCACGAACCATGCCATTAGAGATGCCCCTCCTCCCTGAGTACGCTGCGCCATCGTACACCCCCTCTCCACGCCCCTGCAGGATCGTCTTCATCGTTTCATTCCTCCTGGTCGACTTTCAGCTTAGGTGCAACGATGGAGGAGAAGAAAGTCGCCGACTACTTCATCGTGGCGGGCGTGTCGGACAACGCCATGCCGATGGAGTATTACTCGCACCTCGAGAACATGGAAGCAAAACCGAACCAGTCGCCCATCACCGACGTCTGCGTGATCGTGAAGAGCGCTGGCGAGGCGGCACCACCCGGGTGAGTTACGTCGTTGCCTTCAGCGAACACTGGCAGCGCGTGTGCGAAGTGACAGTGTCACCTTAGGGGTAGAAATAAGGAGAACAAAATAGATGGTCTACAGGATCATCTAGTTTGAAATTTAGATGGTCCTCCTAATTTCAAATTGTTCTCTAAAAGTAATTCTCCAAATATTTGCCATGGTCAACACTGGATTAGCAATAATCGAAACGTGGAAACTTCAAAGAAAATTATCGTAAAATGGGACCAAAATATTCAATGGTCCATCCATTGAACCATTGACTTTGAAAATCTGATGGTCCTGATTATTTGATGGCCCCGGACCATCGGACCATCGCTTATTTCGACCCCTGCCGTGACATGTCGTTCGAAGTCCTTCGATGTGTATGGGTTCGGCGTATATGTAAATGTGCGGGAGTGTATGGGATGGGTGTAAAATCGGTGTTACGCGTGTTTTGTGTGGAACGGTGCGTGGACGTTTGTTGTGTCCTAACTTTGACCCTTAGTGGTGTTTATCTTTATGGCACGTGCTGACTATAATAGCAGCTTGGATATGATTGCATGTTATCCAGGTTTGTTCCAGGTTATTTCCTGGAAAATAGGCTATTATGCCTTAGGATATTTAGTTTATTATTTGTTGTCACGGCACATTGTTCGCATGTTTATTGCATCTAGATTACATTAATGATGATAATAAATGTAATATACTAAGAAATTACCTATTTGCTCTCTGCTTTTTGCCTTAAGTGTGGGAACCCTGGTTAATTTAAAAACAAAAATCAAATTCTGATTAGTTCTCAGAATGTCCATTTAGGGCTCTCCTCCTTTCTTTTGCTGCAGTTTTACGTGCATCGAGCGGACACCGACAGGCCATGCGGCGGACTTGAACCACGGAAGCATACGCAGTCCACAGGTGTACCTCTGCTACAAGCGTGGGCGTGACAAGCCACCTCTTGTGGACATAGGGTAAGTGACCAGTGGTGTGATTAGACTTCCTAACTGCCACCGAGATCAGAACTGTCAACATCTGTGATCTGTTGGTTCGTGGCATATATGACATCCTTTGTCGTTTGCTCTGAGCATTAGGCTACAGTAGTTCAACACGTATTTGTTCAGCGTGGGCAAAGTTGACTAGACTTGGGGGTAATATGTGTCAGCGTAGCAAACAGGAGATAGACCGATGGCGCCAGTTACGAGTTTGTTCGTATCCTGGCTGATTCAATTGCATATTTATGTTTATAATTTTGAAAAGTAATGTCATACATGTGGCTACATCTGCTGCTGTTTTGAAATCTACAAGAATGATCCGTCTGTTGTTAGAATGTGACTGGTGGTGCTGTATGTACAATATATTCATGCACACTGGTGTAGGCTTGCATATATACATTTGTCACTAATTAGGCATAAGTGCAGGTGCTTTTAGCCCAGTATCAGTCATGACTCATGACACATTTCGATTTTTCTGTCTTCAGGCTGTTTATCCATCCATTCATTCATTCATTCATTCATCCAACTATCCACCCAACCACCCATCCATACACCCACTCACTCATTCGCTCACCCATTCACTCATCAAGCCATACATGCATCCATCCCTTCACCCATCCACCTCTCACTCATTCTCTCTCTCTCTCTGTTTCTCTCTCTCTCTCTCTCTCTTCCACACTCACTTCCTTCCTCCCCCTCCCTCTCTCTTTCTCTGCCTCTGCCTCACTCTTTCTGTCTGTCTCTCTCACTCTCTGCCTCTCTCTCTTTCTCTTTCTCTCTCTCTCTCTCTCTCTCTCTCTCTCTCTCTCTCTCTCTCTCTCTCTCTCTCTTCTCTCTTTCGCTCTCTCTCTCGCATCTCTCTCGCTCTCTCTCGTCTCTCTCGCTCTCTTTCTCCTCTCTCTCTCTCCTCTCTCTCTCTCTCTCTCTCTCTCTCTCTCTCTCTCTCTCTCTCTCTCTCTTGTTCTCGTCCACACTAACTACCTTCCTCCCCCTTCCTCTCTCTCTCTCTCTCTCTCCCTTCCTCTCTCTTTCTCTCTCTCCCCCTCCCCCTCACACACACACACACACACACACTATATACATTCTCTCTCTCTCTCGCTGCTTGCAGGGTGCTGTTCGAGGGTAAGGAACGGGTGATGAAGGGCTGCGAGATCGTTCACACGACGCCCGACGGCCAGTCTGCGAACGTGAACAACAGCGGCGCGTGCACGTTCATCACGTTCCGCCGCGCCTCCGAGACGGCATCCAGCAACGAACTCGCCGTCGCCGACGTCTGCATCATCCTCACGAATAAGGTAGGTGGCGCCGGCGTAGCAGGGCGGGCATCATCATGTGTTAGCGCTTTTTGCACGCACTTTGAAAGAACATGCTTCAGTGGTTTTATAGGCGCAGGTGCAACTGCGTAACTGACCTGTTAGTGCATGTACTTATGTACACTTGTGGGTACATGTGCGTGCAAATGCAAAAGATGTGTGTGCGCAATTTAGAAGTGCGTGTGGGCGTGAGTGTTTGCATGCACGGGTGAACTTGTATATGTAAACTTGTGAGTTGCGTGTGTTCCTGTATATATGTCTGTATGTGTACGGCAACAGGCATAGGGAAAATGCCTCGGGATTATCAATCTGAATTGCGTATTACTTCAGCTCCCTAATTTTGGAAGAGGTGTCGCTATTGGCAACCACCTTTCACTTCTAATTTGCAGCTGCCATGCATAGGTCAATGGCATACCATACCAGCATGTATCATGCTGAAAATATTTGAAGTTTTCGATTGCAGCATAAGATGTATGTGTACACCCACCCCATGCAGTGAGATGAATTTGTCTGGCTGGCTATTGCCCCCCTCCTCACTCCTCCTGCTAGCACAAGCATCTCGTATCATGAAGCTGCAGGATCTTAATTACCGGTGAAGCCATTCACTGGGTTTCAGTTACTTGAGAGTGAAATTGCAGCAGCAGCAAAAAGTGTTGTTTCTATAGCAGCAGAGAAGCATGAATATTCTCTGCTGCCTTGCACGTGCATTCAGATTTTGCACCTTGCGCGATGTCGTAATCATAAATAATATATTACATATATATATATATATATATTTATATATAATAAATAATTATGTAATTATGAAGTTATAATAATAATCATCATCATGAAAAAGAATCTCATGATTATTATTTTAATACCAGTGACCATCGTGTTTGTCTTTCAGGGTGAAACGCCGCCGTACGCCTTCTGTCAAATCCAAAAGAATCTCAACAAGGGCATGGTAAGGTACACTTCTCCTTCGCGCGATAGCCAAGGCCTAAAAAAAATACGGTTGTTTCCGCTAACCCGACCGAGTCCATTTTAATTTAAACCGCCGTGTCGAAACTTTTTATTCTGATTGGCAAAAAAATATATTTTTAAAGGAAAAAATTCCAACGTGATATCAATCGGTGAATGCATTGATTTGACTTTGAAGTCATTATATGGGCTGTTATAAGTATAAAACAAGTATTGTTAGAATACAAAAAAAATAAAAAATATTTGATAAAAAAAACGTTTTCCCTGCCTACCGTGTCCAATTTTTTTCAGCTCGTTAGCGGAAACAATCATCTTTTTTTCTTAGGCCCAATAACCGGCATGCATTGTTTTTGCATTTAACTTGCTAATCGTGTTTCGATTCGATCGGATGCTAGAAGTGTTCGTTTGCGTTCTCCGCACACCAAATCGTTGCTAGTCTTTAGGACCATAATCGGTTTTATGGATTCGAGCATGGGCCTGTCTTATCCGAGCTAGATCATACACTGAATCTCCTCGACAGTTATAAATGCATGCCTGCGCGCGCGCGTGGTTACATGTTCGTGCTGATAATAACGACACGAGCAAAACATAATTATAGCAGGTAATAAAGCAAAACACTTTATGATGGATGGTTGTTAGGAGAGGGTCGGTTATTACGGCATGGATGCGTGTTATTGGATGCTTAGAGGATGCTCATCATGGGAAGAATGGTTGTTATGAAATAAAATATGAGCGAGAAAACATGGAACAAACGACGCACTGTTAACCGTCGCCTGTCCTTATCGACTTGCTGTGCCCGTACTGTAGGCAGGGTTCATACGTGTCCTAGAAAATCGGTGAAAGTCCTGGAATTTAGTCTGTAGGTGTGTAGTCCTTGTAAAAAATAGGCGTTTATTATGTCTTGTCCCCAAAGGCCCTGGAAACTAAGCACATGTCTATATATATTGTGTATTTACATTTGACTAGTGATAGCAATAGGTTAATCTACTGAAGATATAATAAATTTCTACACAATAGTTATATAACTCTTTACTGTCTGCGACACTAAAAAATTTGCTTGGCGCAAGAGTTTGATCACTGAATTGTTGATCAGAAGATTCGACGTAGAAAGATTGCATTTACTTTAAATCTTGTGGTTCTGGAAAATGAAGCTTATAAGTGATGGCAAGGTGCTGAACACATGTTTTGCCCTAGGTGTGCAAACCCCGTTTCATTTCAAGTTCACCGAAGGTTATACGCCCGATGGAAGGACGCGAATTTGAGACGGTTAAATCTCCGCTTTAGATGGGAAATGCGTGCAGCGACGGTTTTCCATTTCGCGTTTAGTTTTGCGTTCTCGAATATCCTAATTAGGAGACAATCTGGCTCTGCAGCGTTTCACCTTGCCGCGATACAGTCTGTGAATGAAGCCATGCGAGATCGATGCAGTCGGGGTTAAACTCGACGAGGTGCACTTGTGCGCGACTTCCCGTAAAATAATCGAAGCGTCCAGGGTGTGGCAAATCGCAGCCTGCGTTGCCTGTCCTGTTTTGATCGCCCAGGCGGGTAAAGTTGTTGGAGTGGTTTGCATCTCGTTGTCGGCTGGACCGAGGTTTCAGCGAGGGCGTGTAGACGCGTGAAGGCGGGCTTATGTTGGGCTTGCGAGCCGACTCGACTGGAAGCAACTGGCTGCGACTGCAGTGCTTAGGTTGGTCGACTGCGACGCGACTGCCTGCGACTGGCCGCCACTAGTTGCTCGGAATAGAACAGTGGGCAACTGGATGCAACTAGTCGCTGCTGATCGCTTCCAGTTGCTCGAAATCCATTTGCTTCCGGTCGAGTCGGCTTGCAAGCCCGACATAAGCCCGCCTTTAGATTTGCGACGGGGTGCCGTGATGGCGCTAATGACGTGTTCTCGTCTGTCACAGGTCGGATCCGACGTCTATTTGTGCTACCGCAAATCCATGATGAAGGCGAATTATTTATCATACCAGCCAGGTAGGCGTGCGCGTACATGTACACTAGATATGCGCAGTAATTGCAATGTTTGTACGTTAAAATCGTTAACGTAAACGGTGCGCGAGAGACGAGCTCGATAGGGTAGGATGAGTGAGAATTGTGATTTGTTGTGTACGGCCAATAAATTAATTTCTGCGTTGATTTATCACAGTAAAGGTGATTAGGTGTTGATTATGTATCACAGTGATTTATCGCCGTCGAATGACATATGTATGAAAAGAATGCGGTAATACGTTATAGAACGGCAGCCCGAATATGGCTCGCCATCATAAAAATATTTGTCTAGCGACAACAAACGTTCGGTGCTGAACGTTCACTTGTTTTTTTTTCGCGCGCAGAAATTCTAAGCCGCTACCCGGCGGAGGACGACGAGATGTTCCCGTTGCCGGACTCAGTTCCGTTGTTCATGCAGCCGATGGGAGCGTTCATCGAGAGCTGGCCGGAGAAGGCTCGTGAACCGCTGCCGGTGTTCTCCACGTTTGTTCTCACCGTGTCGGCCGCCATCCAGAAGGTGTGACTCTCTCTCTCTCTCTCTCTCTCTCTCTCTCTCTCTCT